GCATCATGAGCAAGCAAGCACACAACCGCACGTCTGCCGGTTTCAAAACCGTAGCGAAGAGAGAGGATCATGCAGCAGCAGCAGCAGCAGCAGCAGCAGCAGCAGCAGCAGCAGCAGCAGGGACCGCTATAGCAGCTGATGCATGATATGGCTGTAGCGATGGTGGTGCTGGGCGGGCAGGCAGGCAGGCAGGCAAGCGCTTTCTGTTCATCCAACTCACTGACTGACTGCATCGCGCTGTTGCGTGCACTGATCACTCACACTTGTTGGCTCCCATCCTACCTTTCCCCCTTCATACCTCCTTCCATCTGCTCGATCACCACCGTTTTTGTCCTCGTGCTTGTCAAGACATCACAGGTCCTTGATTGTCTCGCGAACACTATCTGCGCCATTGCATGAGCGCCAAACCTCACGACCACATTTCTCACGCGGTCTCTGTTTTCTCCTCACCTTCGCACCTCGACCTACACGTGACGCCCCGGCCGGGCAGTACTCGATCGTACACGTCACGTCTTCAAACGCCAAGCGCATACATTCACGACACCTGCAACGATTCTGAAAGCATTCATGAGAGCAGCTTGAAACCCCACTACTCGGCTCAGCTGTCCTCACTACCACCGCACACGTTTCCCTCCCCCGACATGAGCGCCGAGCATCCTACCAACTCTTCACCTCCCACAGGTGCCGGTGAGCCTTCAACTGCCACACAACTCCAATCAGTGGGAGAGCCGTCAAGAGTACACGCAGCAAAGCCATCCGTAGCAAATGCCGCCTCCCTCTTTGGTGCTGATGGCGATGCGGATCCATTTGCGAGCATAGCTGCCGAGCCTGAGCCCGTTGACGGGGCAGATGCAGGTGCAGGTAGCACCACTCAAGCTTCTGCGTTGAGCACCCTGGGAGAAGAAAGGGAGCCAGCGTACAGCTCGAATATGACACCTACCGCCCTGCACGTGCCAGACAGTCACGCACATGACGATGCGCTGGCAAGTCCGTCAGCTTTGTTCGCAGAGCAAACAGGGAGCGCTGCTGGTGTCGATGACTGGCTTGGGGGCTCAGCAGCACATGCAAATGCCGACCCTACAGGCGACCAGCAGGATCAAAGTGCGCACGGTGCAGACTTGGCAGATCCTAATGCTTGGCCATCCTACGATGACTATGCTGGACGGGGCGCACAGGAGTACGGCGAGCAGTACGATGCATATGGCGCCTACGAAGGCTATGACGCGCAACAGGCCCAGAATGGACAGTACAGCTCATACGATCCCGCACAACAAGAGGCGTACAGCGCTCAGTATGGCACGTATGATGCATCTCAGCAGCAGACTTACGATGGTCAATATCAAGCCCAAGAGCCGACTCAATCGGCGTCGCAGAGCGCTCAGCAGTATGGAGCGTATGGAGCGTCGCAGCAGCAACAGAATTCCTATGAGGTCGGGCAGCACGATTATGGCGCACCACAACGTGGTCAGGGCTATGCGGACTATTACGGCGAAGGCTATGATGCTGCCGAGCAATCAGCTCAAAATTACACGCAGCAGGCTGACAGCTACGAGGCCGGGAATGGCCACCAGAATGGCTACGATCCAACTTATGCGCATGCGAATTATGCAGGTCAGCAATCAGCTCAAGGCTACGCTGCTGACGTGTACGGGCAGCAGTACACAGCTGATCCTGTCAATCAGTATGGAGTCCAGTCCGATTACGCGAGCAGCGCTGCGTACGACCCAAATGCCCAGCAAGGCGCTTACGACTACTCGCGAGCACATCACGACGCCCCGCAAAACGGGCCCGAAGCAACTTTGCAAGAGTCCTATCAGCCACAGCATGACCCATACGCACCTTCACAAGATGTGGCGGGTGCGTATTCGAACGACGGTCAATACTACCACCCTGAGAATGCCGAGACCAACAATTACTCGTACGGCGCACAGTACGGCGATGCGACGCCTGCTCAGACAGATCCTTACGATCCTCACAATGGCTACTCTGCTCCTTATGCAGCAGGGCCTTCAGAAGTCCCGATACCAGACGTGGTATCTTCACTGCCTTCGGCCTCCCAAGCTCCACCCAAGGGCCCTCCACGTGGTCCACCAAAAGGCCCTCCGCGTCGCAAAGTGGAGGCTGAAGCGCAGCCAGCCAGCAGCACCGCAGAGCGAATTCGAGAGCCAGCAGCCCCTTATGCCGCTGGTCCTGGATCATACGAGAACACAGGCGTGGAGCAGAATCCCACGGAACTTGATGGGGCGGCAGCTGAGAGCGGAGTGTCTGGTTACGCTTCTCCTCAAAGTTGGGCGAACAACCTGGAGAGCGCTGTGAGCCCGCCTCCACGGGCAAATGCTTCCAGTAGAGGGGCCGATCCTTCGCCCATTGAGGAACAGATTGTGCCACAACCTCCTGCGCTTACCTTTAGCTCGTACGAGAGTAGCGGGACCCTCGAGGATGCGCAGCCCAGCCAGGCCGTTGAGGAGGATACGGATCAGACACCACCAGCGAACGTTGCGCCTCTGCCCTCGAATGGCCCGGATATGGAAGGAGCTGAGGCTGCTCTTCGAGACTTGGATCTGGAAGGCACAGAAAGCGCAGAGGCGCGTCAGCTTGCGGACGAGAACGGCCAAGACGCGCACCGCGTCTACAGCGTAGCAGATCCTAGCGACGAGGCGTACGGAAGCTACGCGGCCGCCGCAGCTACTGCTGATAAAGGAGGTTCTGCCTACGACGCTTTTGGAGAAGAGCCTGCGACTGCTGACGGAGAAGGACAAGGCTCGCTGTACGAGCAGCAATATCAGTCCGGCGGTCAGTCACAATACGGCTACGAGCAGCCTCCTGAGCCTTACGGACAAGAGACGCACGTGTCTCAGTACAATCCCTACGCTCCGCGGAATGCTGGTGTAAATGGATCGTACCAAGACAGCAACGCTTCAAGCAGTGCCATCAGCGAAGACGGTGGCTACGAATCTTACTCGGCTTTCCAGAACGGCCTCTCGGTCGATGACCAGCATGAAGAGGCGCCTTATTCTGCTGGCCCGCCATCCAGCCAATATGCGGCTTTCCGCCAGGAGATACCGCAGATCAATCACCCGAGCAATGCTGGCGAGGACCCTTACGCCGATGAAGCCCCGACGCCGCGCAGCGCTTACATTCCTGCACCTGGCAGGGAAGTCCAAGATGGTAGTCAGACTGCACCTGTGCACAGTTCGTCGCATGACCCAAGTGGTGCACTCTCGCCGTGGGCTGCTAGCGGTGCTCAGGAGGCTAGAGTGCTCACTCCAAGCTCTGGAGGCACCACGATTCAGCCGCCCACCGCTTTCAAGAAGCGCATTCGTGACCTGGACCACTCAAGCTCTTCGGGGAGCTCCGGCGCGTACTCGCCCTCCCAGCCACCTGCGTCGTTGCCGCCAAGCACTGCCATGTCGTGGGGAGGATCGGATCTCAACGGAAGCGACTCACCTAGCGAAAAGTACGGCAGCACCCTGGGCAGATCTGGCACGGTCACTCAGCGTAGCGTCAGCTCTCAAAACCTGCACTCCGCACCTGTCGGTGCTACCGACTCGGCCTCATACTTTGCCTTGCAGCAGTCATCTGCGCACGCTGGCGCTTCGCCTGGAAGCGTTGGTGCGAGGTCTTCGTCTGTCTATGGAGCGAGCAGTACAAATCTGCATGCGCAATACTCGTCTGGTCATCAGAGGCAACCGACGGATTCAGCTGAAGAGCGCCAACGGGCGCGCATTGGCATCGCCACTTTTGGTCTGGATGGCAAGCTCGTCACCTTTTTGCCGAACGCTGCTGCCGAGCCTGGCACCGGCTCGGGCGCGGGCACACCGTACGGCTTCGGAGCGGCTACGTCGCGCATGACCATCCGAGTCAGCCAATTGTCAGCTGCAGTGTCTTCGCACACTTATGGCAAAGCGCTAGACTTTTTGCGCTTTCCTGGACCCCTCTTCGATGGGACTCCCGGCGCAGCGACTGGCGGTGCGCTTTCGCGTGGAAATAGCGGAACTACGGCAGGCGCTAAAGCTAAGAAGACTGCGCTGGTGAACTACTTGAACGAAGCTGTCGCTGAGATGGAACGAGGTGTGGGCTATCTGAAACGGAGAAGGCCTTCCTTTGTTGGCTCAAATGCTGAAGGCACACCCGTGATTGAGGATGAGGATGGCGGTGCTGATGGGCAGCGCGCTGAAGATCGGGCTTTGCTGATGAGACTTTTGCTGGTGATGCTCGAACACGATGGTAGCACGCTGAACAAGTGAGTGTGGCACTGCAACGGGGCAACTTGCCCGCTCAAGCGGTCGTGCTGATTCCTCGGCCTGGCCGCCTATACAGTCCCACCTTCGATTCTGCAACGCGCAGCTTATTGCTCGAAGGAACACCGCACCTGGCATCCGGCAGCGGCAGCTTCGGCTCGGCCGGACTGCCCTTTGGGTCCAGCCATGGTCCCAATGCTGAGCAGACGTTGCAAATTCACAAGCTCAGCAGCGCCTTCCTCGATCGGGTTCAGACACTTTTGCGAGCTGGAGAGAGGAGAGAAGCAGTAGCTTTGGCAGTCGAGGGGAAAATGTGGGCGCACGCCATGGTCATTGCTAGTAGCGTGGACAGAGAGTTGTGGAAAAGCGTCGTAGAGCAGTTCACGGACTCTGAGCTGAGCGCACGGTCCTCGGCGGAAGGCCTTCCCCAGGCGACCGAGGACGTGGACCGCCACAGTCTACGCGTAGCTTACGCCCTCTTCTCGGGACAAGAATCCAGCACCAGTGAGTCTCGCGGCTGCATCGAGTCGGCAGTAACATGTCTTCTGACCATCTGTCTTTGTACAGTTGCGAAATCATTCCGGATTTCAGAAGCTCATCAGCACGGCCTTGCGAACAGCTACGACACCATCAAAGCTCCAAAGGGTGCGCCTCGTTGGCGAGAGGCTGCTGCGACCATCTTGGCGAATCGGGGCGTCAGTGGCGATTCGGCAGCTCTGACTGCCATGGGTGATGGGCTCCTGCAAGGTGGCTGGGTTGAAGCTGCTCACATTTGGTGCGTTGACTCGGTCTGAGCTTACTCTCCCACCGGGCAGCGCTGATGTGGTTCTTCTTGCGCGCACAGCTACTTGTTATCGCCACAAACAGCCGCGCTAGACGGAGTGGACGGACCCGCGGTCAGACTCACCTTGCTCGGTGCTCATAGCCCTGCTGCTAGCACGGACTATCTCAGGGACTTGGACCACATCTTGCTCACTGAGATCTATGAGTTCATCGGTTCATTGCGACCGGTAGCGAAGGGCGGGGAGACCTATCCAGGACTGCCTCACTTGCAGGCCTTCAAGATGCTGCACGCGCATCACCTTGCAGAGCTTGGCGACACAAAAGGCGCTCAAAAGTATTGCGATGCTGTCGCCAGCGTTCTCAAAGGAGGCAAGATGTCGCGCCATTATCATCACGCCTTTGTGGGACAGCTCAAGGAACTGACCGAACGTGTGAATGGAGGTTCGCAGGATAGCAATGGTGCTACTAGCGGCTGGATGACTCGCAAGATCTCTCAGAGACCCACCATGGATGGCATGTGGAGCATGCTCGAAGGCAGATTTACCAAATTCGTAGCTGGCGAGGACGGCGAGTCGACGGTCGATGCCAAATCCAATGGCAAAGGCGCAAGAGCGACAAGAAAAAGCGATTCTGCCTCTGGTACAAATACCGGTGCAGTTGGACCTTTCTCCCATTACAGCGCCATCACGCCGGACAACACATCTGGGAACATCACACGCGTCCAGTCTTCTGCAGACTTTCATGCCTCGAACGTGTATGGAGCGGGCGCTCCGTCGGGCAATGGCAGCTTGCCACCGTCACGTGCTGGCTCGGCCATGGCTTTCGATAGAGGACAGACGCAGACACCCCTCCAGAGCTCAGGCTTCGAGACTAGCTACCCGTATGGTGCGCCATACAGTGCCGGTGGCTCGGAGTGGGGTCAGCCTCCTACAGCAAGCTCGCTCAGTTCGGCTTATGCCAATCCGAGCCATACGCCTGATCCGTACAGCAGCGATAGGGGCTCAGACTATGGTGGGGGTCCCTACACCAGCTACGGAGCGACTGGGAACGCACCGTGGCCGGGAAGCACGGGAGGGTATGGCGCAGGTGAAGAAGAGCCACGCAGCGCCCTGCAGCCACCAGAGGAGCCGTACTACGGATACCAACCGCACGGTGCTCAACAGCCGCAATTCTTTAGCAACGTCGGTGGCGAGTCGTCCAATGTGGTGGAGTCAGAAGACGGTTTCATCTCTACAATGGGCTCGTCCTTTGGCGCACCGGTTCCGACTGCCTCATCACACGCTCAAGCCAGCGCTGGTACTGCTCGCTTCGATGAGCCCGACGACGAAGAAGATGACCTTGGCTTCGGGAATGCGAGCACCGCAAAGAAAGCGAAGGAGCGCGAGGAGGCGTCTAAAGCCGTTCAAGATGGCGACCCTGGCAAGAAGGCAGACAAGGCGCCCGAGAGGCCCAAGGATGATTCCAAGACTGGGGGAGCCCCAGCAAAGCCTGGTGAGTGCACGTGCACGCCGAAGTCCTGCCTTGCCCAAGACCTGCACTCAATTTCGCGCCTCTTTTTGCAGAAATCAAACCCAGCGGCTCTTGGCTTGGCCGAATCTGGGGCCGCAAGGAGGCACCTCCTGCTGCAGATCCTCCGGGTGGGCACAAAGCACATTTGGGAGAGGAAAGCGTGTTCTATTACGACAAGGACCTCAAAAAATGGGTCAACAAAAAGGTGAGTGTTGTGGGTGCCGATGCCGTGACATTCGCTTTCCATTACTTTGACTGATGCCTGAGCCCCTGCACGCATCGATGTAGGCCGGATCTTCAGCGCCTTCGGCAGCCGCAACGCCTCCGCCTCCTCGAGCTCAAACAGCCTCGCCTTCCGTGGGAGGTCCTGGGGCCGCCAAGCCACCTTCCCGTACGCCAAGCGCCATGAGCATGAGTGCGGCGTACTCAGCTTCGGCAGGTCCACCATCGAGCAGGTCTACGCCGCCGCCGCCGATCAGCGAAGAAGGTTCTGGCAGCCAAGAAACGCCTCTACGAAGTCTGGCAGCTCCGCCGCCTTCGGCATTTAGACAAAGATCCAATCTGGGCGATCCCAACCTGCCGGCTGCTTCGCAACCGACCATGCACCGATCGGCGTCGAATGCGAGTATGCCAGGCGGTGGCGCTGGACCACCAGGAGCCTCAGCTACGCCTCCTCCACCCCCTGGTGCTACTGGCACAGTCGGTCGCGGGAACAAGAAACGGCCGATCGCTAGCCGCTACGTCAAAGTGGATCCGTGATGGTCGCCTTGAAACTCGCTTGTCCGAGTAATTGTAAATGTACAATATGATGCAGATCCGCTCTTATCACCTTGCCCTTGCCCCCCCTTGATGCATTGCCACGTCGACGCACGCGCTTGCGTGGCATCGTGTAATGACGATCACGATAGCTGCTATCTGGAATGCGAAGGCGGAATAACTCGATGACATTTAGATCGCGGTGATGAGAGACGGAGCGGCAGAGCGTGGATCAATGCTTGCTGGATTTGTGCACCAACACCTCAACATGGTGGAAATCAAGTCGCAGCCTTGACCTCTTTGCAGAGCAAACGGCCCGCAGCGACCTGTCGTCCGCACAACCACAGCTCGAGGGGCATGGAGACGAGCGCAGCAATCAAAATGCCAAAAGAATCTGCCAGTCCAATGGAGCCTATTCTGAATTCGTGTTCCTGAGACAGCCTCGTCCTTCTTTCCTGCTCCGACTCGGTGGCCAAACTCGACTCGCCATCAGCAGCACCGATGGTCGATTTGTCTAGCGAGTTGGAAGAATCTCGCGAGAGTTGATAGAAGACCGAGACGCTGTGGGGTCGGCGCAAATCGGGTGTTGAACAGCGGCTCGTGTTCGCGCTCTCCGGAAGGAGATGACTGCAAAGTGTACACTCACTAGGCGCTGCCACCTGCGAGTCCCTCTAGGCACACGAGGACGATGACCAGGGGGCTCGCGATGTTCTGTAGCTTGACAGCAACGCTCAGTTTGTGTGCGTATCAGCTTCACGGACGGGCTGCAGACTGCACTTACGCGCGGGAACCAAGCGGAGAGACTCTCCGAGATGAGTATGGCCAGTAGAAGACCTTGCAGGATAGCCGGTATCCACAACAGCCGCTGAGGAATAGCTGGCAGACGCAAGATGCTGATGGACGATCTTGAGAGAAATACGAACGTCTGATACGTCAATTGGCTGCGCAGGGTGAGGGCAAAGTCGTGGACAACGGAAGGTTAATTGAGATGAGTCTCGTGCGCATGGCTGACAGCTGGCAGCATGGCCTAGCACTCACTACAGAGGATAGTAATCGCTAAGCTTCTTAACGAAGAGCGAAAGAATCCAGTGTTCCCTGGGATCCGGCAGTGGATAAAGCAGCGTAGACGCTACGCCTTGATTGATCGTGTATTCGAAAAAGTAGACCAATACAAGCGGGGCAATGTAGACAAGCAGCATGGGCTTGATTAATTGCATCTTTCGAGCAAAAGGGACCGACACTGCTGCCGAAGTCGGAAGGTCTTCCGGGTCGCCTTGATGGCCTTGCGCGCCAGTAGCTCTAGGTCTGGCATCATCATCTTCCTCTTCGCCGTCCACAAAATCCGCGTCAGCTTCTTGCGTACCAATCGCAGTGTAGTCGGCTGGCACCTCGGCATCGAGCGCTTCTTTGCTCGGCAAGATGGCAAAGTATGCCAGAGCCATGATGCCGGGCAGAATTGATAGCAAGGTCAAACCTCCTTTGACGCCCAGAGGTCTTACGATCCACCAAGCTGCTGCGCCCAGTAGTCCAGCAGCACCTGTACCCGAAGCGAACCAGCTGTTCCAAGTGAGTCAAAGGGCCGATGATCAGTCGTAGGTTTCCCGCATGTAAACGCATACATCCGTTGGCACTCACCCAACTCCGTCACCCGCTCCGCTGTGGCCGTACCTCGTATTAAGCTGCAGGAAGGTGAGTTCGCCAAGACCGGAGCTGAAACTAGCCATGCTGATCCCGATCAATTTGTTCTCCAGCGAAGTCGAGAACGCAATGAGCTGCGAGCATTGTGAGTGAGCGCGGAAGCAAATCGGGGTCGCTTTGCGGTCAGTCCTGGATTTGCGACGCGGAGCCACTGGTTTTGCAGCAGAAAGGTTGGGCGCGACAACGCCAAAGGACTGCAATGACGGAACGCAACTCACAATCATCCCTACAAAGCTGATGGTGGAGCAAGCGACGACCCTCCTAGCATATCTGATCTCTCCCTTGAGCACATAAGGCCAGATAGCCTTGGCAACGAGTGCAGGGGCGATATTCGCAGCAGCCACTACGCCAGTGGGTACCCCTCTGGGTAAGAGCTCGAGCGCAGCAGTGAGGATGACGACATACAGAGCATTGTTGAGTAGACCAAAGAGAAAGTTGGATAATCTGAACAAGAATCTGGTTCGGGTCAGAGGCAGGTGGGAGTCGGATGGAGAATGTGAATGTACCACGTGTGCATGTGGTCGAGCAGGGGAAAGAGGCGAAGCATATGGATGCATGTTGCGCAGCGTGGAGCTGGATGCGCTCGATGTTGCGTCTCCCACCGATCTTTGTAGATCCTCCAGTTGTATGCTGCCTGCTTGAGATCGAACACACTCTGACTGGCTCATGAGTCACGGGCGGGAGATGAAGAGCATGTATGCGCCGATACTGGGGAACCTTCTATTGTGGGGGCGTGCCTCTGAGAGAGGCAAGGCAGTGCGGATGACCTGAGCTTTCATCCGCGCTTGTGCTGAGCAGCGCTTTGTCCCCTTGAAGCTAGGCCCTGCCAACGTGCGTGTAGAGTTTCGCTCCAAAATGCCATCGATAGCCAGAGAAGTCGAGGCCAAGGGGCGTAATACGTAGGTGAGCTCCTTCCTTCAGTCCAATCGCACTGCCGGCAAATGGTGAGCTGCGGCTCGCAAGTTTCCTGACGAGGGATTGGATAGCTGTGATGAAGGTGGTGCGCTTAGACTGGGCGTCTACGGTAAGCAGCGTATGCTGTGCATGCATGCATACCCATACATGTGTGATCGACTGATCGGTCTCAGGCACAGGCATGCATCCATCCATCCCCTGGGCGGAGCTATACGCGTGCAGCCAAGATGAGATCGCGTGTGTGAGCCACGTGGTTTGGCATAGCAGACCGTCACGGTCGGTCTCCTCTGGGATGGTGGACCTTTGGCTTCTGCTGAGGCGAGGCAAGGAGCGTCGCGTTCCAACGTAAGTGTTGACCAGTCATGAATATGTTGCACCATGAGGTCGATGACATAGTCGGAAATAATCCCAAGCCGGTCAAGGAAGTCGGCTGCGTGCGCTTGGCACTCGACTTGAATCAAGGCTTTTTTGAAATTGAATGACGACTTTCGATCTTGAAATCTTGGCTCGAGAGTTCAGTAGCTCAGGCCGCGCTTTAAAGCAGCACTTTTGAGCGACAGGAAATCATTGGCGACACAATGATATTTCAAGGGAGAGATCACGCCTCGTCTATGAATGGTTTCATCATGTTGACGATCGTCGGTGGTAGGTGGAGCGCCAGTCGTGAGTGGATTCGACTTTGGGATCTGCTGTGAGAGCGACGCGCGATTGGTGATCTCTTTCTCGTACGAGAAAACAACGAGGTGGGCGCGACGCACGCCGACCGCCGCCAGCCAGCGTGCGCGCGCACGCGATGTGCGCTTGCTGATGCACGTCAACCAGCAGCAGCGCAGCCAGCCGCGCCTTTGACTGTCGCGAGAGGGCGCGCGCGTCGCCAAAATTCATACGCGCACGCGGCGTGGCGATGAAAGCACGAAAGGTCGATTCGGTGTGACGATGAAATCACGACTCGTGACTGCTGGGCTGATGATTTCCGCCGCGATGGCGTACCGTACTGTACATGCAAGGTCTTTTCAAAGCTTCACGTCACGTCGTTCAGCGGGCCGAGCGTCTCCCCTCAATCTGCTTCTACACCTCACCCACATCGCTCCTCTTTGCACCCATCGTCTTGCAGGCTCGGCATTATCAGGAGCAGATGCCGATCGAACCAACTTCACGAGTTTCAACCACGCGTTTGCACTCTCCCCCCCCCCATCACTGGCTTTGATCGATTGTCATCGCTGCCACGTGCGCCTTGAGGAGCGTGACAGCGCGTAGGCATACACCACCAAGTCATCTACACCACAAAAGGGCAGCAAGGGTCTGCGAGTCAGCACCGCGTGGACTTTCCAAGCTGCTGCACCTTGGTCCGGTTCCTCTTCTGTTCGCCGCCCATTTCGTCTGTGCGTCTCAGTGTCTTTTACTTTCCGTAGTCTAGGCACATTTGGGTGCGGCTTGCCACCATGCCACCACGCCATCACCACAGTGGGGGTGCAACAATAGGCAATGCAGGTGGTGGCGGTTCTCCATTTCCACCTTTGGGTCTAGCAGCAGCGGGCGCCATACCTAGCGGCACACACACTCCCGCCAACAATCCCTCTACGTCTGGAGACTCGGAGGGGAATGCGTCTTCTAGAACAGGTCTGCCGCCTTCTACTGGGAAAGTAGACACTGCTGCTGCCCAGAGCTGCAGAGTGCAAGACGCATATTGGAGCGAAGATGAGGTCAGTGTGTGGTACACGTGCATTCTGGAGAGAGCGGCGAGAGGTGTGCGTCTCACTGACCAGAATCTGCTGGCTGACCGTTGTTGCTCCACTGTCGTCCTTTTGCAGGAGGACATGGACTGCCCGCTGTGCTTGGAAGAGATCGATATGTCGGACGCCAACTTCAGGCCTTGTCCTTGCGGCTACCAGGTACGCACTTTCCACCCACTGGGCGCAATCGTGGCACTTTGGCATCCGTCTAGCTGCTAAAGCCTCCTCTCTAATCTCACTCAGATTTGTCGCTTCTGTTGGCACCACATCAAGCAGAATCTGAACGGAAGATGTCCGGCTTGTCGGCGCAAGTACAGCGATCAAGCCGTGGAGTTTACGCCAATGACCCCAGAGGAGTGAGTGTAGCATACATGCGCTCCCTGATTTGGCTGTGCGCGTCGCATGAGAGAGAGAGAGAGAGAGAGAGAGAGAGAGAGAGAGAGAGAGAGAGAGAGATTGGCTGACACCGATCGCTCGCCTGTCAGGATCAAGCGCTTGACCCTTTCCAAACGGCAAAAGGAAAGGGAAAAGAGAGAGCTGGAGCAGATGAATCGAAGACACTTATCCAACGTGAGGGTGGTCGTCAGAACTTTGGTCTATGTGACAGGCTTGAGCCCGCGGTTGGCTCGCGAGGAGGTGAGTTTGTTCTCTTTGCAGCAGTGTCTGCATCGTCACAGACTCACTGACTTTCCATATCGCCGCCGCCCGCCTCACGTGAATAGCTCATACCGACGCTGCGCTCCAACGAGTACTTCGGCCAGTATGGACGTATATCCAAAATTTTGATCTCGAAGCGCACAACAGCATCAAAGTTGGTCATGGGCACCTCGGAGTCAGCACTAGGTGTGTACATCACTTACCATCGCAAAGAAGACGCGGCGAGGGCGATTGTGGCGATCGATGGGAGCAAAGGTTCCGACGGGCGCACGCTAAGGGCCAGTTTTGGAACGACCAAGTACTGCACCACGTACTTGCGCAACTTGCCTTGCACCGTGCCCACTTGCACCTACTTACACGAGCCGGGTGAAGAAACGGACACATTCACAAAAGAAGATCTTAGCACTTTGTGAGTAGATCCGTCGAGCGGCGCTCAGGCTTCGACTGACCAAGGGCTTTACTCACTGCAGGCGCCACGCAACCAAGGACGCTGAATTCAAGCTCAAGCCTAGCGCGGCTGCGATTCAAGCCGCCACCCAGTCTACGCGTCGAACAGACCCATTCTCGAGTTCGGGTGCGCCGGGCTCAGATAGCTCAGCCGCAGCCTTTGGCACTACGCCAGAAGGCTCTGCACTTCCCAAGACTGCCAGCTGGGCTAGTGCAAAGGCTCCAGGCACGCCTATTGCGCCTACACCTGCTTTGCCCGTCTCGGGCGTCATTCGCGACTCTGAGCTGCCATCTCTTGCCGCAGCTACGGCCGCGAGGGAGGCACAAAGAAAGGCCAGCTCTCACACCAAGCAGAGCGCCAAGCAACAAGCAGCGCCAAGTCTCGATGGCTCAGCTCCCGCATCTCCGGCTCCAGTCAACGCGGCTCTCGCTGCGCCCACTACTCCCGCGTCCACGTCAAAGAGCCGAGCGGCTCAGCGTGCTGCTACCGCAGTGGCTGCCAACGAACCGTCAGCTGAGCCAGAGCCAACCGAGCTGGCGGAACCTTTAGAAGGCGCATTGAAGGACCCTAGCGCCGATATGGCGCCTCAAGCTGAGCCGCTACCAGCGCAGCCAGACGACTTCGCTTCTAGGAGAGCGTCAGACTCGAGTTCGGGCAAGGCTGCTCAAGCAGGTGGAGGAACCTCCAGACCACCCGGTCTTGCTCCGCCGGGCTTGATCAAGGTCTCAGCAACAGCAAGTGCGGAGGCGCCACCAGGGCTCGGACCTCCTCGAGTAGCAACACCAGCAACGAACGGAGAAGTGGCAAGCCCGCCTTACCAGCCCAGCCTTTCTGCTCAAGCTCTTCTGGACGATATGCGGGTGCGGCGCGATGCTGGCCCGCGAGTGAGCCCATTTCCCTCCTTTGAAGACACACTGCGCAGCTTTGAGAGTGGCGGAGACTTCTCTTTTAACCTCAGCGGCGACGTCCAAAATTCAGAGAAGAGTGGCGTACGAAACGCGGGGATGGGAGCCTCAGCTGCGGGCTCGTTTCTGTTTGGTGGCCCGCACGGCATCGCGCCATTCGGTGCCGTGCCGTCTGGTCTGACCACCGGCAGCGTCACTTTCAACGGCTCAGCAGACCAAGCAGGCGTCTACAACGGCTCTTTTGATCCCTTTGCAGAAGATGCTGGCAAGACCATTATCGCTCTGAAAGGTCACGGTGACGATTTGGCACACGATCCAGCCGCGGGGCCCTTTGCAGCGATAGATCAAATGAGAAGGACGCTGTCCGAAGAGAGAGCCGGAGACAATGCCAGCAACGATGACGATGGTGCGACCGACGCTGACACGAAGCAAGCGAGTCGGTTTGGATTCGCCAAGCGCAAAGAGTCGGATGTAGGGGCTGCAGGAACAAGCTCGCCATTTCTTCGACCGCGCTCGCAGTTGTTCTCAAGCGCGGTGCCGCAGACCCAAGCACAACCTGCTTATGCAGGTCCACCAGGCCTGGGCAGTGGTGGCACGGCATCGTTTGAGTCGCACGGTGACCCTTTGGCCATGAACATGCGAGATAACGCGACAAATGTCCTAGGCAGCGTGCTATCAGATCGACGAGGGCCGATGGGCCTGCAAGGCAAGGCGCAAGACGTCTTTTCATCGCCACGTCTAGACCATCAGGCACGCTCTGGCAGCCCGGCCCAGTCCCAGCAGTACAATGCTGTTCAACAGTATGGTCAAAGCCATGCGTCCCCTCTGAATGGATTTGGGTCCCAGAACAGGCACGAATCTGACTTTGGCTCCTCCGCGCGCGAATCTCCTTTGTTGATGCATCAGCAACAGCATCGGACGACGGGCCCTCCGCCGGGATTTGGAGTGCCCAACAATGCAGATCAGCAACACTATGCGCACTCTCTTCAGCAACAGCAGCATTCGCAAGCTCAGGGCCGTACCAATCACGGAGGTTCGGTTGCAGGCGTGGGCTACGATTTCTTGGCGCAACTGCAGCGTGGCAGCGGACCCAACAATGTCGGTTCGGGCAATGGCAGCAGCAGCAGGGGCCAAGCTTTCGCTTCGCCATATGCTGATTCCATGTCTGCTCAACAGCAGCAACAGAGGCACGGCAATGGCGGATCGACCACCGCTGCTACGACGCCGGGAGCTAGTGGCAACGCTTCGGAACCGCTCTTGGCGCAGATCATGGCCGCAGCAGCAGCTCGGCCTCGATCAAATGCTGGTGGTGCTTATGGCGCGCAGAATGCGGGAACACCAGGAGCGGGTGGCAACGAGGGCATGCCCTTTTTCGACCCTGCCATTATGAGCATGACGAGATCCCAACAGGCGCAAGCTCAGATGCATCATCACCACCAGCACCCGCAGCATCCGCAGCAGCAACAACAGGGCCAAAATAATAATGTCTATGCAGGAGCCTTTTCGCCTTTCGATTCTGTGCCTCAACAGAACGCGTTCGGCAACTTCCAACAAAGGCACTGAGGCTCACGATTGCTTCTACTGAGCCGGAATTCGAATCGATGCGACCTGCTGCGCTTCGTGTTCCGAGGCTCGCTTCTCGATTTGGGCCACTCCTCCTTCGCTACCGCGCCGCTGATTGCCTTTCTCACCTCTCTTGATGACTCACGAGATCCCGCAACATCAAAGCGTACACCGGGCCGGTGCCTCCGCCCGTGCGCTCCCTAACATCATCATCATCATCAGCAGCAGCAGCACCTATACACCGCAGACGGGGAAGGCGCACCAGCACATTCGTAATTGCACGTCCAACGCGCTCAGTCAATTCCTTTCAGACCGACGCTTAGAGACCGCTCCCTTTCACACGCGGCATACGGATGTTCTTCTCCCAGCGCCCTCCCCTTTGAAAGTCGTACTTGGTGTTCCCTGTCCGTTCCTTGCGATACGCTTCTTTGAACAAATGAAATGAGAATCTTTTCTGCGAGAGAGATTCAGACGCGGCTCGATGGGCATTCTTGTGCGCGCGTTTGTGCGTGTATGTGCTTGGGCCGTCTGCTTACGATTGAGCGTGCTCGCGTGATTGTGATTTGCGATGGACAAGTGCGGATCGGAGGGAGGGAGGCGCATTGCATTGTGCGATGGAGCGAGCGTGATTCTTGAACGAGATGCTGCGCCGAGAGAGAGAGAGAGAGGAAAAGATGATGGGGGAATGACGAATGGTGGGGGGTGGGGGCAGCTAAGAGCGACCGACTGTGTGTGGGGGCAAGGTAGCGCGAGAAAGAAATGTGCTTGGGTGAGGAGGAGGAGGAGGAGTTCTGAGCAGCAGCTGAACGCGCCTCGTGCGAAATCACGCTATTGGAAAATTGGGGGGAGAACGCAACGATGGGAAAAATCGGCAAGCTTACAGTGTCGTGTGGCTAAATTCACGCGGGCACACGACCGAGGCAAGAGTGGATGTGGGACGTGCAAAATGTCTGCAATAGCATGGCTTGGCATTGTCAGAGTGGGGAATTGGTGCAGGGAGGGGGAGGGGGAGGGGGGCGAATAGCAGTGCCAACGTCAAGTTGCTAAGCGAATCCTTGACCGCTCCTCTGTTTGTTCCTCTTATTAGCCTTGAAGTGTTTTTTGCCAGCACCATTGCCCGACGCAAAGCTGGTAGTGCTCATCAACTCCATTTCCCTCTGCAATTGCTCCTGCGTCACTGGCGTGCCATCGTCATTTATGCTTTTGCCCCTCAGCGCAGCCGAAGCATTTCCACTTCTTCCTTTCATCGTGTAGTGCCCCGCCGCACCAGATCCGGATGGGCCATTGTTGGAGAACATGCTGCTCTTGAAAAAGGAAGAATCTAGCGCGGAAGATTTGGATCCTTGTTGTTGTCTGCGCGCCGCCAAGGTGATCGCATCATTCTTTGCTCGTGCAGCTCTTGATGTCTCCTTCCCATCCGCACCAACGCCCGCGCCAGCGGATTGCTCTTGATGCTCTTCAGCTTCAGCCAACGAAAGGGCCGGCGCATACCTTTTCACACGAAGCGCAGCTCTACAAGCTTCTCGCTGCGTAGAGTTGAACACATCTCCATCCACACCTGGTGGTGCGTGCGCGTACAATAATCGAGCATTGACGTAATCCTTGAAGATGTAACGTGCTGCGCGTGATTCGTCCGGATTGCCTTGACCTTGACGTACAAAACCTCTGGCGACTGCGTGGGGAGGTGGATCGTTTCAGATTCGGTCAGGTCGAGAAGGATGAGTAGCAGGTAAAGCTAATAGCCTAGCTTTCGCCTTTTCCCTTTTCCTTTCCTCTTCGTCCCACTCCCGCTGCTCCACTTCCGACTCACCAGCATAAGAAGTCAGCAATTCCAACCCTGTAGGTTGACCCGAACCTCCTTCTTCCCTGAGCTGCATCTCGATCCTAATACTATAAGTCCCCTGCAAGATATCCTTCGGTATCCTCCTCGCGATCAATTCAGCGGGGGCAGTGTATTCCCTCATCTGATCGATAGGCAGCACTCCATCACAAACCAAATCCGCCGGCGTCGTAGCAAATTGCGGAAAGACCAATCCGGGACAGTCGCAAAGCACCGTATTGTCGCTCAGATTGATCGTTTGGAAATGTTTCGTGTGTCCAGGAGTGGAGGAGACGGAGACTTTCTTCTCTCCAAGCAAGGCATTGATCGTGCTGGATTTGCCCACGTTCGGGTAACCTACCAGTCCTACTACCAATTTGCTAGGCACGCCTTGCTCGGCCGTTGCAAAGTCGTCAAGAGGAGGTGCGCTCAGCCTGAAGAGCTCTTCGAGCTCCAGCACATTCAGAACGCGCGTGGGATCGCTAGGATCATGCGCGTCGCCAGACAAAGTGTGGTGAACATCTTGTGCGGCTTGATCAGGGGCGGAAGCTGCCGCTGCTGCCGCTGCTGCCGCTGCTGCCG